ATTTTGGATTAATCTGAAATTTTCAGTTCAGTTCAGATTTTTATAAGTTTACAGTTCAGTTCAGTTTTAGATTGACCTATAATTTAGACTGAACTGAACCATTCAGAGCATTATATAGTAGCGATTATAAATATTTAATCACCTAAAATCATCTAAAATTATTATATAACTATCCCTTAAATTTTTCAGGATTATAATGTAACATAATATATAATCACCTTTAAATTTATAAGTATCAATAATATAAAAAAAAATTAGATGATCATTAAACTTTCGCTTGAAAAATGAAGTTTTCTTTAGAAAATAATATGAAATTGTCTTTTTATGTGAGCACTCAGCTTGTCTAAAGTTTAATTTTAGATTTATTACTAAACAAATATATTATAGTAAATCTACAGCTATTTATTAGGTTAAAAGATACTATGAAAATTAGAACTTAAGTACTTCAGAAAAACTGAATCAACTTTGTATAATAATCACAAAATAAGATGATAAAATTGTAAAGATGACAAAGAAAAAAAAAACATAATATAACAACCATTCAAATACAAGAAAAAATGGAATAAAAAGGTATTAAGCTTAGTGTGAAACAGTAAGACATTGTCTTTATAAGTTTAAAGAAAGTTTAGTAATAAAAATTTTAAACTTTTGCTTAAAGAAGACGATTAAAAGAAAAGGTTATAATTGGTAAAAAAACATAAGAATTTTGATTAGAATTAAGTTATTTTTACAGATAAGAATACATTTTAATTATATATATCAAAAAAAAGGTTTAACAGTTTCCTAGTAGAAAAAAAGTATTTCGTTCTATTAAGCATCTACTAAAAGTTCATGTTTAGGGATGTTTTTCTTCTTTTGGATTTGATAAGTTATTTTGCTTTTAGAGGAACCTTAATGCTAAATTTATATTTACTATTTATGAACAGAATCTTCTAACTTCTACCTCTAAACTTTTTGGTAAAAATAATATAGATTGGATCTTATAAGAAGATAATGATCCAAAGCATTGATCAAAAATCGTAAAAAATAAAAGAAAAATGACGTTAAAGTACTTTCTTAGTTATCAATGTCTTCAAACTAAAACCTTATAGAAAACGTTTGAAGGTTAATGAAAATTAATATACAAAAAAATTTGATCAATTAGTGGATTAAAGGGAACTTACAAAGGAATAGAACTGATTATCACCTGTACTTGCTGTGAATTTAGTAGCTAGCATAAAAGGCATACAGCTACACTTATAGAGTCAGATGATGACTATCAACACAATGTACTAATTTTAGTTAGTTGGTTATATATTTTTTAAATAAAGAAATTTTGAATTTATTTACTTGTAGCCAGAGTTAGAGGCAGTCAGATACTTATGACTGGTACTGTAAAAAAAATTCATAAAGATATATGATCCTTTTTTAAACATTACTTCTATTATTATTAATAATTTTAAAATATTTTTAAAATGATATTAAAAATAATGTTAATAAATATTCTTTAAATATTACCTTTAAAATGTTATTTAAAAAAGCATTGTTAGTCAAAAGAACTTAAATATTCTTAAATAATTTCAAATGATCTAGAAAGTATAATAGAAAAATTTAATTATTTTTTCTAAAATTACCTTTAAGAATCAATTTCAAAAAGATTGTTAATAAATGATATTGAAATCCTTAAAATAACTTCAAATAATCTAAACTTTATTAGACATGATAAATGAATGCAAAAATTTTTAAATGAATTAATGATATTAGTTTGTAAGGGAACAAACAAATAGAAAAAGTTCTAAATAGAAACTCATTATATTTTAGAACTTTTCGTGTGAATTCAAATTATAAAGATAAGAAATAGAAAGTTTTTTTGGATTGAAGAAATTTATAAATGATGTTTAAAATAATTTACAAATTCAAATAAGTGCTTCATTAACATTTATATAGCAAATTGACACTAATTTCGAGCGGGATTAAGATTTATTGCATCAAAAAATTTCGTTATTAAATTCTTACAGAACCGTTAAAATTATCAAAAAATTTCGAATTTAACACCGCAATAACAATTATTGATAATCTTTTATGTATACTAATTTCTCGGATTTCGTGTGTACAGGCAGTGGAGGAGAAGATTAAGAACTAGTTCTTAATCTTCCCCTCCGCTGCCAGCACACACATCAAATTAAGAATATCTGAAATCATCCTTAATCATAAAGATCGAATCAGGTTTCTTTAATGCAATTGTATTTTAAAGAATCAATGAAATACATAAAATCGATACGTCATCAATCTAAGAATATATCATTTTTTTTTTTCGCGTATTTTAAATCTAATTACCAAATCGTAAAAAAAAAAAATCCGAATACAGACATCTCATAGTCAAATCACAAGGAATCATACGTGTGTAATGTTTAAGCCTCCAATGGTTATTGTTAGAAATACTTTTTTTTTTTATTTTTATTTGATAATACATTAAAGAACATATTAACTGTAATGGAAGTGTTTTAACTTTTATTTATTTATTTTTTTTTTAGATGATTTTGTAGTTTTTGTTAAAATAAAAATAACCCAAAGAAAATTTTCACAACACAACGAAACTTTCCTTTAAAAGAAAATTTCCAATTTTATAATGCTACTAAAATAGTTCGATTAGAAATAGAATGATTTTCTGGAAAAATTCCCACATCTAACATTTAAAAAATAAACACACTCATTTAGCCAGCATTTATAAATTATAACACGTTTTCATCGGTTTAGGTTTCACTGATTCGTTCGGCATATGAGTTTTTTTTTTTTTGCTACGGCAAACATCTTGTATTACCATATGCGTAAATACAAACTTTTAATTATATAACTCACGTGTTGCACGAACCTTCATGCACCAATATTTATTTGATATGAAATTTTATCTTATTTACTACACAGATCAAAGATAAATTCTTAATATTTATTTATATTAATTTATTAATTAATTAAGTGATATCATAAAAACACATTTATTTATCGTAAGTAAATTATTAGATTCTCTGATCAATCGGTTAATGAAGGCTGTGCCGGCTGTGTTAAACGTATAAATTATCAATAATTTCGGAAATCTATAATTGGCTAAAGCAAGCAAAGTAAAATTATCATCCGATCGATCAAAGCATTAATCTCACGAGAAAAAAAAAAAAAAAAAGAGGAAAATAAAGGACGAAAAAATTTTAATATAATAATTTTTTCCTCAACGAGTTGGTGACAATGTAAATGTAAATGCAAATGCAATTAACGTCAATTATAAATGCGAAAGTCATCAAAGTCATTTGGGCGACACAGAATTGTCGCGCGCCTCAGCAATTTCCGAAGGAACTCCATTAAAATTAAGGTGATCATATTCCTAACTACAATGATCATGGTTTGGGGTTATTATTAAATTTTTTCTTTTTTTGAAGTGATGTTAAAATAAATTTATTCGGTAGGTTTTTTATATTCATAGATTCACATTTACTATTTATGTAACGTTGCAATTTCTTTGTATGAAACTAAAAAATGCAGGGGATGTTTATTAAAAAAATGATGCGTTCCCAGAATAAAACTCGGTTGATTTATTTTTTGGTTATTCCTATATATGGTTGTTTCTATGAAAAAATATTTTCTATAATATCATTACTAATATATTTTTGGATTAAAGAATATATATTACACAGTATTACACAGTATGCTAGGCTTCATTGAAAACTCTTTTGCATGCGAAAGAAGTTGAAACTAAAGACAAGATAGCATAATGGCTGATATATTTATGTTTCATCAAAAAAAAAAAAAAAAAGAGATCTGAATCAATCACAACAAATAAACTCAATCAGACAATGCCATCATTTGAATGCAAGTCTAGAGCAGAGTCCGACTTTCAAAGACAAAGCATGCATGGTTTATATATATTTCTAAGAATCATATTTGGAATCATTTGGTTAGTTCCTATTAGGGAATCATAAAGTTTTTCGAAATAATTAACCCATAATAGTTGAGTTCATTTAGCATCAACTAATACGGTACGTTTATTTTTCAGTTTAGGTTTAGATGTTTTTTTAAGTTTCAAACGCATAAGGAGAAGGGAAATTATCATGTGATTCGGGTATTTCAAAAAAAAAAAAAAAAAATTATGATAGTGGCTTAAAAATATAATAAAATTCGTTTTAATTAAAAGGTTTTCCCCGAACAAAAGACAATGCTCTCATTAAATGACATTTTTCCATTAACTTCCTAAATGTTTAACTTTAAACCTGAATCAAAACTTGATATAACCGAAACTTTTTTTTTTTTAAAAAAAAAACAAACATGAGATATGACGGAAGAAAATTTAAATACCATCATTATTAAATAAGAACTGGATCCATTTCATTATATAAATCAATTTATTGTATATTTTTTCAATAAAGCCACGTTTCTTTTATTTATCATACGAAATTTATCGGAAAATGCAAAATGATAATCCTTTTACAGGTTTTTAAATAGTCTTTTTTTTTTTTGTTTCGATTTTTTTTTTTTCTTTCTTTATTTATTTATAACACGAATTCAAAACATTCCAAAAACAAAACAAAATCCTATTTTGAGATGAAAAAAAAAAAATCGTACCCACGTAATTGTACCCCCATTTTTCTTTTTAGGTCAAACTAGAAGAGCGCCATAAATACGATATATATTATAATCATTTATTTATGTAAGATAATATCATTTCATTATTTCATTATATATAAACTAGAAATTTATCATAAAAAAAAAAAAAAATTCCATCAAATTACTTGTTTTTTTTTCGTTTCGAAAATTACCCCCCCCATTTACTTTGAAATATACATATACCTTTTCTTGGGGTACTCCAGAAAAAAAAAAAAAAAAAAGAAAAATCAGATTTAGTTGTAAATAATTAAAATTTATTATAAAAAAGTCATTTTTTTTTAAAAAAAAAAGTTTTTCCAAAAAAAAAAAATCCACCTTCCGCTTTGAAGCGGTTCAAATTCAATAATCAAGGGTTTCATGATTAATCGATGGTGATGTATAATTATAAAGTGAGAGGTTCTCCGATATTTTCATTAAAAACGGTTTTTCTTTTATTTTTTATTGTAAATGTAACAAATTCACAATCTCCCGAAGTAACGTATGTAACACATCCAGAAAGTGAATCGGGTTTAAAGATCGTTCAAGCTGATTCATATATTACCAATTCCGCTATCTGTTTTCGTTTAGCTAAAAAAAGTCCATATTTCGAAGGATGTAATGAAGAAACAGTTTACTTAAGATTACTAAAACAAGATGGTAACGTTAGGAACTTGGATTTTACTGGTCTACCTCAAGAAAGTTTTTGTAGAGGTAGTCCTGTTGGTGTTTCATTTCATAAAAAACATCATAAAAACAAAGATTGTGAAAATTATGATGATGATGATGACTACGACTCACATAAAAATACAAATAAAAAAAAGAAATGTAAAAAGCACAAACCTTCAGATTGTAAATATGGTGATCCTGATCCAAAATGTGGAAAAATGCCAAATGAACCAGGTGGTGGAGGAGGAACTCCAAATGCACCCGGAGGTGGTGGTGGTGCGCCAAACGCACCAGGAGGTGGCGGTGGAGGAACTCCAAACGCACCCGGAGGAGGTGGCGGTACGCCAAACGCACCAGGAGGGGGTGGAGGAGCGCCAAACGCACCAGGAGGTGGTGGAGGAACGCCAAACGCACCAGGCGGGGGTGGAGGAACGCCAAACGCACCAGGAGGTGGTGGAGGAACGCCAAACGCACCCGGAGGTGGTGGAGGAACGCCGAATGCTCCAGGAGGAGGTGGTGGTGGTGGTACGCCAAACGCACCCGGAGGTGGTGGAGGAACGCCAAATGCTCCAGGAGGAGGAGGTGGTGGTACGCCAAACGCACCCGGAGGTGGTGGAGGAACGCCAAATGCTCCAGGAGGAGGAGGAGGAGGAACACCAAATGCTCCAGGAGGTGGAGGTGGTACGCCAAATGCTCCAGGAGGTGGAGGTGGTACTCCAAACGCACCCGGAGGAGGTGATGGTACCTCAAAAACCCCTACCGCCCCTGGTGATGGAAAAACACCTGGAGGCGGAGGACCTGGAACACCAGTCGATGAATCTGACGTGGTATCAGATAGTATAGTAATTTATGCAATATCAGGAGAATATATTCTTATTACATATTCTTGTAACGGTTCGATTTGTGGTAAAGTTGTAAATTGGGAAGGTGAAACAACAGAGTAAGTCAAAGATTGCGAGCAATGTTTTTTTTTTCAGGTCAAGTTTTAATTAATTTATTTTTGTTTGGTAGTGAAATGCAATTTAAGGATGTATGTACGGACAGTAGAATTGTCAAGAGTATGTATGACGATAATGACAATGGTGGATTCTTATATGCTTGTTATAAACAAGAAACGGAAACGATCATTTGGACAACCTATACGGCACCGTAAGCAAAATATTATCATCAGTCAATCTTACGCGAAGCGCTTCATTTAACATTTTTTTTTCTTTTTTTTCTCTCTTCTCAACGTACAGAAATATCGAAAATAATAAGGTATTAGAAAAGAACAGCGGAGTAATAAGGAATATAACAAAATTTTCCTCCAATTTAACACATATATTTGGAACCGAAGATGGAGGGTATTCGATAGTAGTAGGAGATTATAATAGTAAAGTGGAAGAAGCATTTATGCCGCCATGGACTATATCAGTGTATTTTATACCAATAGATAGTAATGAACATAAGGGACCATATGAGCTTTATTCACAAACAACAGAAACAGTTACAGCATTAGAAATAAAGAGATGTAATATAGCATATCAAATGTACGGTTATAGTTGTATAATACATTATATCACACCTGCAGGGAGAAAATTCCTAGATATAGATTTCGTATCGTCAGGAGCTATATTGAATACATTTGAATTTGTAGTGGAACAAATACCTGCCGATAGTGAGGTGATTGATATCGAAACACTCTATTATGGTGGATTTTGTATTGTCGCTACTACACAAGATAATAATATACAAGGATTCGCTTATAGTAATAATGGTACTTTTGGTAAAATTTGGGGATTACCTACTAATAATACCTATAGTTCGGAATTTGGTGTAAAAACCGATAATACCGTTTGGGCTATTGCTGATACGAATAAAGCATATGAATGGACTTGTGTTATGTCAACCGCTCTTCAATCATACACAACAAGTAAATTAATCTTTCAATAATATTTTTTTTTTTAAAAAAAAAAAGTTTTTTTTTATAATTCTCTTTGTTTTTTAGTTGAAGGAGGAAATGGACAAGGACCATTTGGTGGACCAGGAGGATATGGTTCATCAACGGTAGAAAGTACAGTACCAGAAAAATATGCAAAAGTATCAACAAATCTTAAAGAAGTCGCAATCACATACAAACCATCTATTGAATCATCAACTGGAACCGTTTCATTTTATCAAACGAGTGAAAATGGTGATGACCCTATACTTAAACAAATAGTGCAAACAAATGATCCAAATTATGTTACAATAAATGGAAATGAAATGTTAGTTAAAGTAGCAAATTTTACCTTTAATAAAGGAAATACTTCTTATGAAATTATTGTTGATAATGCAGCTGTTAAAGCTAGTGGACAAAATCTTGTTGGTATTAGACAAGGTGCTTGGATAGTTGCTACGCGTAAGTAATTTAGTATTCAAGCGTTGGATTTAACCGTATTTGATCATATGGACTAACTTGAATTTTCAAAATTTCAGTTTCAGATAATGTTGAAACATCCGAAAAAAATCTAGGTAAATTATCACAACTTTAAAATATTAGAACGTTGATTGATTGATTGATTGATTGATTGATTTTCGAATAGGTGGCAAGAAAGCGACCGTTCTATTGACAGCAAAAGGAACTGAAAAATTTATAAAATCAAATAAAGCTGATAAAGAGAAATATGTTAATGATATGTCTACTGAAATTACAAAAGTGCTTGCATGTGATCCCGGTCGTATTTCTATACCAAGTGATAGATATCAATATAATCAAACCTTACCAGATCAAATCTTATTGCGCGTAGATATTAAAGAATCCAAAGCACCAAATGAACTTGTACCGTATAGTTTAATAAAGGCTTTGAATGAAGCGATTCGCTTTAAAAATATTTCGTCTATATCAAGAGAAGAACATACAAACGATTTAGATTCCCTATATGGAGCCGAACAAACTTGTAAGAAAATTTTTTCATTTTCATATTTTTTTTTTTAAAAAAAAAGAGTACTTTAGTTCTTCATTATACTGATAACAGATTTTATATTTAATAGCTAATTTATGGGGGAATTATAGATGGATATTATTGGGAGTTGCATTAGGATTATTGATTTTATCAATATTTTGGATCTTGGCAATGAGAAAGTACAAGAAAGGAAGGAATTTCTTGGCAATTTTCTTTTTCCCACTTGTTATAATAGATTTCTTTTTGGATATTATAGTATTAGCAGAACACGGACGAGATCGAAATTGGTTCAATATCTGCTGGTTGGTTTAATAATTAATTTATTTCCTACAATTGTTTTTGTGCAACCGTAGATATGTATATTCTAATGCGCTCGTTACCTTTTTCCCTTGATAGTTACGTCTTTTTAATAATACCATTATTATTTAATTCGATAATTGCGTTAATTATTATAAGTAAACAATTAAAGGAATCGTCCTCATTTACAAAGTGGTGGAAAAGGTATTCAAAAAGTGCATTAGGTTTCACATTCTTGTCAAGTATAGATTTGGAAGCATTGAATTTTGCATCATCAAAATGTGGTGGCAAAGAATTATTAAATGCGAGATTCACGGAACCAGGATTAAAAGAAATTTCGAAATATGCTATGATTATAGTATTAATTGAAGATCTACCGCAACTAATAATTTATTCATTATATCAAAGATATACAGCCAAACCAGCAATTATACCTATATTGGCATTGTCATCAGCATGCATAGTACTCTTATTTAAAATAATTTCGTCTATTTATTTAATATATATTTATAAGCCTGATAAACCTATGACAAGTACAATAGAAAAGGATGATGACTTAGGTAGCGATACAAGTAGTTTGGAAGAAGGTGAAAAGGGCGGATCAAGAAATGAAGCGGCACCTATAACTGATACTACCACTGATCGTCCAACTGGAGGAGTAACCGAGTTTGATGATGTTGGTAGATCTGTTGAGCCTCAATCATCCGAAATGAATATAGTGTCCTCAGAAAAAGAACAGGTCACGTCTCACATTCCCACTAATAGTAAAAATGATGATATTGAAGGTGTAGGAAAAATGGCAGGAATCGTAGGAGTTGCTAGTTATCATGACGTTGATCATGATCATGATCATAAATCTCAAAACGGTGATATAGGAGATTTTGGCAAAGCGAGTCGAGAACAAGAAGAACTAAAAAGTACTGCAGTAGGGGGCAGAACGGAAGAAAGTACTGCAATTAGCACTGCCACTCGTACCATATCAGAAACTGGTGGAATAGAGCATACATCTTATACAATAGGTGAAGTTGGTGGAGTTGGTGGTGATGGTGGAGAAAATGTCACCGGTTATAGGACTTTTTCACAACCTGGTGAAGGTGAAACCGAAACTAAGTACACCTTTGAAACCACAGAATATTCAACGAGTAACGTTGGTGGTTTTGTAGTTCATAGTAGGAGTGAAGGTGTTGGTGAACCTGAATATTTTTCTATCGGTACCCACGCCAAGTATTTTACGGAAAATGGTAGAATTAAAAAGCACACTGATGATGGTGAAGGAGATGATACTTACACCGAATATTATATTGAAAATGGAGAAATTAACAAACATACTCGTACCGAATATTATTATACAGAAGATGGTAAAATTATAAAACGTACTGTTAAGGATGGTGATGAAACTGAACATTATTCAATTGGTACACATTCTGAATATTACACAAAAGATGGTAAAATTAAAAATCGCACCGATAATAAGGATGTTGGTGAAGGAGATGATACTTATACCGAATATTATATTGAAAATGGTGAAATTAAAAAACGTGCTCTTACTGAATATTATTATACCGAAGATGATAAAATTGCAAAACGTGTCGTCGGTAAGAATGGTGTTGAAACTGAATATTATACTATCGCTCATACCGATTATTATACAGAAGACGGTAACATTAAAAAACGCACTTACAGTAAGGATGATGGCGATATTTACACCGAATATTATATTGAGGATGGTGAAATTAAAAAACGTACTCTTATTGAATATTTTTATACCGAAGGTGATAAAATGAAAAAACGTACCGTTAGTGATGAAATTTATTCTATTGGTACTCCTAATGAATATTATACAAAAGATGGTAAGATTAAAAAACGTAATAGTAAGGATGATGGTGAAGATGATAATTTTACCGAATATTATATTGAAGATGGTACAATTAAAGAATGTACACGTATTGAACATTATTATATCGAAGATGGTAAACTTATAAAACGTACCATTGTTAAGGATGATGATGAAGGAGGTAGTACTCGTGTTAAATACTATGCTGAAGATGGTAAGATTAAAAAACGTATCGTTGGCAAGGATGATGATGATAATGATACTTCAGCCGCTTCTTCTTTAGGTGAAAAGAAAGTAAAATTAGGAAAGAAGGAACAGAAGGGAAAGAAATCTTTATTTAAAAAGTTGAAGAGTAGATCTGATAAATCTGATAGTTCTTCATCTAGTAGTAGTAGTTCGGATGATGATTCTAGTGATGATGAAACCAAAGAAAAAACAAAACATATCTAGAACGATTATGTAAAAATTTTTATAGTGAAGTAGTATAGTGAACTATTTTGCATGTATATACATACTGTATGTAGAAAAATTATTATTGTAATAAAAAATCCAAAAATTAAACAGAAATAAATAAATAAAAACAAAAAAAAATAGTAAATTAAAGCTTTAATACCATTTTATAAATTTATTAATATAAGTATACAAATCATTAAAAAATATAATTTTATATAAATTAATGATTTTTTGATAAATCTTTTCTACTAATATAAAAATTAATTTTCTAATTTTTAAATGAATTTTTTTTTTAATATAATCATTAAAAAATTCTTAGATACTTGATTATAATAAAATTTGTTATATTATATTACATTTCATTTTCACTTTACTTCTTATTTAAAAAAACTTAGTTGTTTTGATTACTGAAATCTTAATTGTTATATTATTTATTACAATTAAAATTAGTTTAATATAAAATTAATTAATTAAGATTAAGTATTAATATATGATTGGTTAAATATCATAAATCTAAAAATTTTTAATAGTATTCTTATTTATTTTATTATATAATTTTAAACTTTTATTAATTATAAATACTAATTATTTAATTATATTAATATGTTAATATTAAAATAATATTTTTATATTATTAACTTTTATATTTTAATACAGCTATTTTTTTTTTTATTAAAATTTTCTTAGATAATTATTTTTTTATTTTTTTTTTATTTAACTTTTTTATATTTAATATTAGTTTTTATACTAAAAATTTTTAATATAAATAATATACTTATAATAGAATTTATTATATCTTTAAATAATTTATTTTTAATTATTTTTAATTTTTTTTTAAAAATAAATTTAATAATAAATACAGTCAATTCTTGATATAACAAATTTTTTGAAAAAATATAATAAAAATACTCTTATTATAGTGAATTGGCCAATCAAATCTCTTAAAATCTTCACTATAACCTTATAGCGAAGTTAAGGTCTAGGATATAGAATTTGTTATAATAAGAGTTGACTGTATAACTAATTTTCTAATTAATCTTAAAATAACAAATAATATAATAAAGAATTAATAATTATTACGAATAAAATAATAGATTTGTTTAAACTAAATAAAAAATAATATAATTATCTTTTAGTAAAAAATTTATATTATTGTAAAAATTAATTAAAACATATTTTAATAACTATATTAAAGTTACAAGATTTTTTTATGTCAAAAAAAAGTAATAATTAATGATAATTATAAAATCAGATATTATATTATTAAATATATACCTTTTGATAAATCTGTAAATAATCAGATTATTAATCTTCTTAGCAATAAAATCAGAATTTAACAAAAAATTTTGTTTATAATATATAAATCTATCAAAATTAAAGTTAATTTTTACCATTACTATTATTAATATACATAATAAAAAATATAATCATTAGATATAAGTAATATATATCTTCATCTGATATGATAATATCAAATATATATTATAAAAAATACAATTGTTAAAATAATAATTCAATCCTTGACTTTAATTGAATATTCATAAACTAGTAAAAAAGGTATTATAATAATTTATTATATTAAAAAATATGATAATGTAAAAGTAATATTTGTAAATATAAATATTAATTTAAATTTCAAAATATATTCTACATGTAAAAATCTTACTAATATCACAAATTTTTTTAGATTCAATATTCCTATAGGTAAAGTTACTTATCTAAACTTATTTAGATTTGATAAAATATCTAAACTATAGTTTCACTAATTTTTTACTAAGATTTTAATATAGTTTCAAATTTTTATAAACTTTAATATAATTTTATCTTATCCAGAATTTCGCAGATTTTTTAATAAGATTTTGATATAATTTCACTAAATTTTACCTTTTTTCTATTTAGATGACTTGCAAAACCTCTAAGTTTTGTTTAGCAACTTTACACTATAAATAAATCTTATTATCAAAATAATACAATTTACTTTATTTTAGTAATATTACTACAGTCAACTCTTAATATAACAAACTCTTAATATAATAAATTTTTTTGAACAAATATATAAAAATACTCTTATTATAGTAAATTAGCTAATCAATCTCTTAAAATCTTCACTATAGCCTTATAACAAAGTTGAGATCTAGAACATAGAATTCATTATCATAAAAGTTGACTGTATTAACAAAAAAACTAAAATTTTATTAAAGTTTAAAAATATACAAATTTGCAAATTTTTTACTTCAAGAAATAACACATAAAACAGTAAATCTTAATTACTTAAAAATAAATAAAAATTATTATCTGATAATATAAAAAATATATTTGCATAAATATTACATTATTAATATAACTTATTTGCATATTATATATATTTACAGTAATAATTGTTTTATTTTAATATAAATTTAATAGTATGTAAAACTAATTACTGATATACAGTTAGACCTCTATATAGTCACAGCTATATAAGTATACTTCTTTATATAATTATCTAATTTTGTGAAACAGATTTGAATGATAATAAATTACCTCTATATAGTCACAAATCAATTATAATCACTATCACACAAAATTTTTAATCTACATATTATTTTTATTATTGAAATTACTTTTTTACAATTATCATAATTTTGGTCAAAAAATAATTTTAACTAGAATTACTGTATAAATATTATATGAATTTTTTTTATAGAAATTTATATTACATATATTTTAAAAAGAAAATTATAAAATTTAATTTTTGTGAAATGATTATTGTTAAAAAAGAAAATAATTTTCAGTTACATAATTTATAAATTATAATTCTAGTCAAAATTAAAATAATTAAAAATTTATATCTCTATAATAATCATATCTTTATATAATTACCAATTTTTAGCAAACTGAATGAATAACTATATAGAGGTCTGACTGTATATATAATAAAATGTAATATACTGAAAATTCTATATAAAAATGCTTTTAATAATATAACAATATAATACTATTTTTATATTTATCAGTTTTACTGAATGAAAATCAAATGTAAAATATTATTGATATATTGATATTAAAGAAAATGTAGATCTTAACTTATTTTAATAACTTTTAAATAGATTATAAGATAAATTATTAAATTAAATTTTTTATATTTGTTGGTTATATTATTGTTTATTAATTTTTATATTGTATTATTTAGAAAGAATTAAACAAATTAGTAAATGACTATTTTTATAATATTACATAAATAATTTAAAGAAAAATTTTACTATAAATATTTAAATTTTTAATAATTATTTAATTTATTTATTAATATAATATTTAGTATTTTTTCATCTAGCTAGAAATATTATTAAACAAAATGCTATTTTTCAAAAAAATGTTAAATAAAAATTTTAAAATATAACTTGATATAAAATATTATACATATATTATTTAGTATCTAAAGGTATTTATTCACATCTATTGTCTTTATCTGATTGAATTTTAATTATTTAGTTATATTACAGGATTTAATTTGTTAATCAAATATAAATATAATAGAAGATATTATACTAATAAAAATTATTACTAGTGATTATTTATAATATTATCATTTAAATTAGTTTACAAACTAATTGAATCACTTTATTATTAATAAAAGTCATTAAATTTCTTAATAAATTATAAAATTATAATAATTAAAGTTATTCTTTATGATAAATTTTATAATATCCTATAATAATTAATATTACTAAAAGTAAATATTAATAAAATAATCAAAGGTCAATGATAAATTTTTTAATTTATAAATTTTTAGCTTATAAATAACTTTAAATTATTTATTATATAATTAAAAAATAAAATTTAATATAATATTATATTGTATATATTTATAAAATTAATTTAAAAAAATATTTTTTAAATTTTTAATTTTTTATAAAAGTAAATCAGAAGGAAATTTATAGTAAATAAGTAAGTAAATTTATTTGCAAATCTCAATAGTTTAAGAGATTAATTTTTTTTATATATTTGCTTTCTTATAATAAATAATTTGTTTGAAAAACTATATATTATTATTAATTTATTAATTAAATATTATTATTTATTAGAAAATTCATTAAAACTTACTTTAAAACAGATTATTTTGCTAAAATTTATGCATTTCTAAACAATAATAATTATTTTTAATATTATATTAATAAAATACAAAAAGAAATTTATTTACAGAATAAAGACTTTTAAGTATTATTTATAATTATTTACATAATTTTAATAGTTTTTATAATTATGTAAAATGATTAGATAATAATTATTACTTTTGTCTTTATTTTTAATATTTATTTATCTAAAAATTATTTTTATTAGAATTCTTTGAAAATAATTATATAATAGTTATTTGTACTACTTTTAAATAAATATTTAAATAGGTAAATTATAAATATTTTCAAATAGAATTTTCTTTTAAATATATTACAGGAATAAATGAATTGAAAGTTAACTACTATATTTTAATATGAATTAATGAATTATTAATTAAATTATATTTTGATAAAATTGTATTTTAACAGATATAATTATTTATTAATAATTTATAATAAATATCAAATTAATATAATTAATTTTAACATCATCAAAATTAATTAGTGTTAAAATATATTAACTACTATAATACTAAATATAATTTAAGTAGATTCTTTATTTTATATTATTTTATTAGTTATTATAATATTAATTATTATTTTTATATTTAATTCTTATTTTATCTGAATTTTCACAAATAGTGTGATAGTTATTACATATAAAAGAATTTTTACTGTTTTTTAATCTAATGCATTAATTAATAAGAATATTAATTCAATTTAAAAATATTTATAAAACTGGTTAAGATTGTATTATTATAAATTTAGATTATATATAAATAAAAGGAACTGGTCTTGTATTAAATAAATATTATAAAATAAAGAATTAGAAAAATCATTTAATTCATAATGTAAGTCATATAAAATTAAATATAATTTTTTTTATAATATTTATTTTTTTTT